AACACCCGGGACCCTCAGAGAGAAGCAAGGGCAGGGTGTGCCCAGGGCAGGCAGCYGACAGCTGCTGGTGGGGCATACGCTACACATGCCCATCTGTGTAGGGGCAAGACCCACGTCTACACTCAGCCCAAGCTAATATGAGTCTCACTTCTCCCATGGGAGAACCCGAGCAGGCATCAGCCTGAGCACCAGCCCACTGCTGCTCAGCTTCCCTGCTTCAGTTCAGTTGGGAACTGCTCCAACACATCCCCTTTTCCTCCACAAGCCTGAGCTCTCCAGAGTTCAGGAGACTGAAGCAGGATACACAGGGCAGATTCAGGATACAATACTTCATAGTCTGGCGCAATAGTCAGCAGCAGAGAATAAAAATCCCTTGTGGCATGCCACATGGTTGTTTCCTGGAGAGCAAGRGCATTTGAAACTGGAACAAACAATTTCATATGCAACAGGACCCTTCCCCTGCAGGTTGCAGGCCAGCAGAGCCACACCATCAGGAATTGCATCCACCACCATGAGTCCAGCAGCAACACAGAACCAGAGCCATGGACCATCCCAGCAGCTTCAGCCCATGATGGGGCCACGGACTTCAACATTGGTGAGCTCCTCCACTAATAAATCAGGCTTTGCTCACACAGTTTTTCTGGTCTTCTCACTGCCAAATAATCAAGTCAGGTGTCACCAGAAAAATCCAGAGAGAGCTGTCCAGCCTTTCGCAGACTGTCTTTGTCATCTTGTGTCCTTCTCAGCATGACTTCTCCACCCTCGTGGAGGCAGGAGGCAGGTGCTGGTACAGATGCCGTGCTGAGGACTCGGTGTTGACAATTGAAGCTGAGCAGAGAGGGAAAGCGCGGGATCACCCGACCTTCGAGCCCCTCCGAGTCTTGGCATGCAAGGCTTGAGCACGAAGACGGGAGCAGCACAGCCCCCTGAGGGACCACCTGCCCTGCCCCACAGCACTTCAGGAGCTGTGTGCTGGCACCCAAAGCTCCATCCCCAGCAGCACTCACAGCCTGGCTGCCACCTCAAGACAGACACTGCCACCCAGGGAGGGAAAAGGCAGGTGGGTGCCCATCTGCAGGGAGGGTACTCATGAAAATAACCTTGCTGGTGAAGGGCAGTCCAGCCCCCTGCCTTCAGTGCTGTCACCAGAGGGCAAGGGCAGGGCAGGCAGGGCCCTGTGGCTCTGCAGCTGCTGCACACCCACAGAAAGGGTGGCCATGCAAGGCAAGCTGGGCAGGCTGTGACCACGACCACCTTTGGTTTCTCTCCAGTAGTAGCCCCAAAGCCATTTGGTGGCACTCCCCACTCATCCTGCTTGTCCCGGGAGGATGGCTGTGGAGCAGCAGACAGGGAGAGGGGCGGGAGCTGCTCAGCAGGCTCACGCCTCCGACATGTGCTGCATGCGSCTTCGCCAGACCACAGGATCTGGCTCACTGAACGTGTGGAAGCAACACTTCTTCGTGTCTCACTTTACAAAGCCCCAAACAATAACTGTCTGTCGCTGCACAGGAGCTTRGGAGAAACATAAGTTGCTATTGGCATGGCACAGAGCAGCCTTCCTCTTACACAACACCAGCAGATGTGAAAATAGCCTGGTGCTGCCTTGTGCGTTCCTCTGACCTCCTGTTTGCTTCTGGATCAGATTCCAAAGCTGGATCTTAACCTACAAGAGCCATAAAAAGCAAAGGATTTGGCCCTATCAGGGACCTCTTCATAATCTAAGACAGATGCACTCCATGTAGAAGAACACGGCGAGGTTTATCAGGGCAGGGAGGAGGCTGAGGCAGGACCACCCTCCGCTCCACAGCACAGCCAAGGCAGCCCACAGYTGCACTGCCCCCCACTCTGGCTAGCCATGCACTCGAGGTGCTGCAGGGACAGAAGAGCTGGAAGCTCTTGCAGATCAAGASAGTACTCAAAACCTCACATCCTACTGCTCAACCTACACTGAAGCTGCCTCCAGCCCCGCTGGCAAAGGGGACCCTCTGAGTACCCCTGTCCCCAAACTTGTTACCCTCAGGATCAGGGGTGCAAGCAGAGCAGCAMAGCATGAGGCAATCCCCTCCAATCAGGCAAGGTGCTCCTGGGGCTTTTCACCTGCTTGAAGAGCAGAGATGACTTTGACTCTAAAGCCAAACCCAAAACCACTCTGGGACATACAGAATGAAAAAGCACATGGAAGAGAAATTACTTCTRGAAGTGTGAAAAGGTAGGAGAATAAACTGCCGGATGCTAAAGACAAGTGATAGAGGGACAGTTCAGTAACCATCAGTGAAAGGGCATCCCTAAGAACAACCTGCATAAATAAATTAATGTCTCCAGTGTCCATGAGGGTATCCAGTGTCCCTGSTTTGGAACTGCAGCAACCTCAGGGACTGCAGAGGTCTTCCTAAGMATGCAAGAAAGGAAAACAAGACAGGGGAAGGGACAGGGGAATGACCTGTCCTCCAGGCAGCCCTGTGGGGTCCAGATCCACTCCCAGGCCTGTGCTCCACCTACACTCCAGCAGTGATCCCCTCTGTCCTACCACCTGCTCCTTGGTGGAAATGTCACACGATGGCAAAGCCCATGAGGAGTCCAACTTACCCAGRGATCTAAATCCTGCTCCTGGAAACTCCCGACCCTCCAACCTCCCTGTGGCCAATGCCAGGGAAAACCTCCCCAGTGCTGCCCACAGGAGGTGCTGCATCTGACCAGGTCACCCACCAGTGGCTGTGGAGATGGCCTTGGGGTCTGTGAGAAACCTTTTAACCAGAGCTGAGTCCCTGACCATGTAACTGCARCTGCTCACACATCAATGCACCACATGCCTCATACATGAGGAGGTAACAGAATACACAGAAAATCCCCAAATCACAGTGCTTTGTCCCAGAATACCTCCAATACATGCCAGAGGGATTTCTACCTCTGCACACAGAGCCACAGGGTACCAGGCAGCAGCAGAGGAGAGTAATTCTAAGACCAACACACAGGACAACCTGCAGACGACAGCTTGAACAGAGGGCAAAAGGCAGCCTTAGAATATAATCCACTTCAGGAGCTCTTAAATCTCCCCAATACAACACAGAGTCCTTTAAGCAAAACTAAACAACTTCCTTTAGACTAAATAAATATTAAACCTAAGTGATGCATTAATTTACTCCAGTTCAGCAAAGGCTAACTCCTACCCAAACTGATCATTATAAAAGAAATCCTATAATCCCTCGCTCCCATTCAGGCTCAAAACATGTAATCCCATGAATAAATCCAGAAAGAAAGTGTAACAAAATGGGCAATAAAAACTTAACAGCATTCACATCTTTTCATCTACCATTAATACTGTAAACACTCACTCGAAAGCCCTCAAGTATGACTAATCTAATGTTTTGGCTCCCAACACTAATCGCCGAAGGAGCTCTGCTCTCCGTGTGACACCCAGCGAGCTCCACCACCCTCCAGCCACAGCCAGGACACCACCACAGAGCCCAGCGCAGCAATCCCACATCACATCCCCCAAAATGCTGCAAAATCAGTATGAAAGGGAGCAAGTATGGTTCTAATAGCACCAGAGCACAGAGCTTTCTTCTTTTTTTCCTCTTTTTTTTTTCATTATTTTATTGCTTTGGAAGCCTGCAAGCTCCAACTGTATAAATGCCAATAACTTTGTTTTAAGGCTGCTGAAGTAAGAGATCAGATTTTAGCAAGTGCTTTCCAGGCAGCCAGCCAAACTTTTTCTGATTCACTAAAAGCACCAAAGGGAGGGGGAGAGGAAGGGGGCTGGAGGGCTGATTAACTTCAGTTACCGCACAAGCGCAAAAAAAGTCTCCCCGCTGCAAAGGGTGCCGGCACCGCGAGCCCTGCGCAGCCTGTTATTCCTCGGGCTGAAAAAAACACGCAGCAGAGAAACAGAGCAAACACCTTCCAACCGCAGGGTAATTTACAGCTGCGGATCCTCTCCTGCTGGGGAGGCTGCTCCACCAGGGGAGGCTCTGCTGGTGCTGGGTTTGAGCTGCGGTTTTTGGAGGGGATGAGGAAAAAAATGTGATCAGGGATTTTTTGGATGGATGGGAGAACAGGGGATGGGGCTGGTTTGGGTTTTAGTTTGGCAAGAGGGATGGAGCCCCCCCCAAGGCTGTGGCTGTGCTCATCCAGAACCATCCCTTGCTGCCGCTGGGGATCTGGAGAGGGTGAGCAGGTGCAATCCCAGCGAAAGCACAACTCAGGACCAAGGGGTGGCCAGAGTGGCCCCCAGACCTGGCAGAAGGGTGGGCTGGAGCCATCGGAGCCGTGGCACCTGCTCAGCCCGGCCCCACAGGTGGGGCTGCTCCAGGATGCCCAGCTAAAATGCCAGCGGCAGTGAGGCGCGTGGCCACGGGGGCAGCTGCCATCCTCTTCCCGCGGGCACCTGGCTGAAGAGCCTCGCTCAGGGTGTTCCTCCAACGGCTTCATTCCTGCTGAGGCAGGATCAAAGGCTGGAGCTGACTTGGACGGCGTTTTACTGAATAATGGGGAGGGAGCACGCAGCCTCTTTCTCCTGGCTAGGGAAACTTGTGTTTTTCAAAGCATCAGTTTTTGGGAGTGAGTTCCAGAAGAAGGGAAGAGAAAAAAAAAATAAAGGGGAAAAAAAGAAGGCGAGCAGGAGAGTGCCTGCTCTTCCAAGGCAAGTGCATCAATCAACATTGTGCAAGGAGAGTCCAGCATTCCCTCTCACATCATTAGCCAGGCTAATGCACTCCAGAGGATCCCGCTACGGCAGGCTACCGGCGCACCGGCTGCACCCCAGCCCGCAGCGGCGGCCAAGCACAGCCGGGCACGGAACGGGAGCTGAGCGCAAGGCGAAGTCCCGGTCCAGGGCAAGTGACACTCCAGCAGCTAGTGCGGGGCACGGTTTAATGCTGCTATAAAAACTAGAGGGAAACAAGTGAAAGCCCCAGCCAAACCTGCCTGGCACTCGAGGTCCGCACGCTGCCTTTGTTTCTATTTTACAACCAAAAGCGAGAGAGGACAGAAAGGACACGTACCTGTACCTGAAAGCACAGCAGCAGGAAATGTAAACATCTGGAGAAAAAAAAAAAAAAAGCAACAAAAGATCAAATGGTGTGGTAAAATGGTTGAAGTTGATTTTTTTTTTTTTTGCTTTGTTTTTGTTTGCAATTTTTTTAAAGGGTGCAGAGCAATGCTCTGCTTATAGAAAGGCTCGAGTCCCCATTACCACCTGGCTGCACGGAAAATGCAACCGGAGCCTCCCGAATAAAAGTTGTAAAAAAAAAAATTGAATATTTTTTAAAAATTAAAAAAAAATGTAGAAATATGCCATAATCCTTACAGACAAGTGCAGGCTGAGAGCAGTGAATACATCGCTGGGCGAGGAGGGGGTTGGCCGGCGGCTGGTCGCTAGCGGAGCGCAGTCCCCCGCCGCCGCGCTGACATGGGAGCGATCCGGCCGGCGAGCTCCGATCCGCGCCGCGCCGTTCCGCGCCGCTCCGCGCCGCCGGGAAGTTGTGGTACCGCCCGCTCTGCCTCCGCCGAGTGACTCGTCAGGCATCAGCTCTCCTCTCCCCCTGTCTCTCCTCCTCCTCCTCCTCTCCCTCTCTCCGCCTTTGGGGGGATGAAGGTGCTTATTGTCAGTAACTTCCGATCATCAGCAAGTGCCCCCCCGCATCCCCCCGGGCCGGGCCAGCCCCGCCGGGCGGATGGAGCCTCCCGWCCGCCGCCGCGCCCCGCTCCGGGCTCCGCTCCGCACCCCGCGCCGCGCTGCGCTCCGGGCGGGCGGCATAGCGATGCGCGGGGCGCGGAGCGGGAGGCGGGACCCGCCCGGGCGGTCCCCGGGGGCTGGCACCGCCTGCGCGGAGGGGGCACCGCCCGGCCGCAGGGCAGCGCCGAGCGGGGAAGCGCTTTTCACAAAATGAGTAAGGGAGGGGGTCGGGCTCCCCCGAGCCCTCCCCGACCCGACAGAGCGGGCGGTGCCATCGCTCGCCCGGGACGCGAGGCGCTCGGAACCCCCGGCACAGCGGCTGCTGCCCCGCGCTGTCCCCGCCGCTCCACCGACACGTGTGGCCCCGGCCGTCCTGGGTCCGCTACGGCCTTACCTCCGACCGGGCAGGAGCGCGTCCCGTGCCCACCGAGCCCCGGGCGGGCGGCAGCGGGGCCCCGGCAGCCCCGGCACGGCCTCTCGAGGGCCACAGTCGCCCCGTCCATGGGCCCGGCACCGTTCCCGCGGCGGGACACGGACAGCGGGGTCAGAGCTCCGGGCTCCCGGCGCTGCCGCCGCTGCTCCGCACGGCTCGCCTGCCCTCCAGCGGCCGTTCCGCCGCCCGCACCGCCCGCACCGCCCGCAGCCCCGGGAAAGCCCAGAGGCTTCCTCCGCCTCAGGTTTGGGGAGATTTTTGATTTGTTTTGGGGTTTTCTTAAGGTTAAGACAAAAAACTTCACACGCTGATAGCGTGTGGTAAGTCTTTCCTCGTGTCTGAAAGCTCGTTTAACAGCAGACGAGATGCCAGAACCATAAACCTCCACGCATAGCCAAACTCTCCAAAGAGCACCCAACGTCAGTTAACACCTTATTAAGTGAGAACATAACTACAGCTCAGAACTCTGAACTTTCCAAATTTCCCACTCGAATAACAGCGTGCATCAGTGCAGCGTGTCGGGCCCAGCTGCTTCCATCTCRGCAGGGACCGAGGTGCTTGCTCCCCTGGCACTCTCAGCCACAAATCAAGCAGCATCTTTAATCCCTGGAGTTCTTCATTGGGGACCCTTCAGGCATCAAGTCACAGGGTTTTTCAGCCCATAGGTTCAAGCCTAAGAGGCACAGAAAACACTAAGTTTTAAAACAGTGATCAAAACAAGTCCTTATAAAACCTCCAGCGCTAACACATGTCTGTGATGTTTCTAACAGACTTCACACTTCTGGTCTTATGGATCTGAAAAAAAAAAAAAAAAAAAAAAATCCAAACTGCTGTCAATTGCTGATGTCACCAACATCAGAGGCCCCATGCCCTCACCAGTCCCACGGCACCTTGCCACAGCTGAAAGCTGTTTTCACACACGGCCAAGAACATCAGAGCCACCATCCTGAGCCCTACAAGCTGAGTTCACTGAGAAACCTACACTGAAATGATACAGGATTTGGGAACTCACAAGATGACAGTATTTAGCTTAGATGTGCAAATATTCCATATATCCCTGATCATCACCAATACATTTCTTGGAAGCAGTTTGGGGGGGAAAAGCCTAGCCTGTATCACTTTGTGCTAGCAGGTGCTGCTCAGTCACCCACAGGAAAGACACCCACAGCATATGGTCATGCCCAGCGTTTCCACATGATCAGCCCTTCACCTCGCCAAGTCTGGTATCTGCTGCCCAATGTGCACAGGAGTTCTGCACAGCCAGAGGCAACAGCWCCTCCAAAACACAGTCACCTGCGAATGTGAGCTTTGATTGCTCCTCAGGCTTTTCATTGTGGCAGCTYCATCACCTTCCTCCAAAAAAAGGCTCCTCAGGCAGCGACTGATGGCTCTGCCCAACACCCAGGCTGCCCAGGGCTGCTGCACCTGGCTGGAAACAGAACAGTTAGAAAAGGAATTTGTGAAGCTGCTGCWAACATTTATAATTTTAATTGCCCAAACAGCAGGTAAAATTACAGCAGCTACAACAGACCTGTGAGCTACACATGGAAAAACTCATCCCAGGTGACGCCGGCCCAGACCATGCTGACGTGTCAGGTGCTGGCAGCACAGCTGCCATCCACAACTATAACCCAGCTGCAGCCAAAGGACTTGCATCCACACAGGGCAGAAGGACCTCGACACCTCAAACAGCACAGGGCAACACCAGGGGTTGTTTTAAAGAGGGCACATGAGGGTTTTCTCTTTTCAATTATTTCATTTGCAATGATACGTGAGTTCTTTATTTAAACTAGATCCATGTTTTGTGCCTCAGCAGTCTGGCAAAAMCCCTTAATTTATCATATCCAAATAATTACCTGGAGAATAATACCAATATTGGGTGAATCTCAGACTACCAGCCTTGAACAACATAGATGGGGCACAGAATAGAGATGAGGAAGCTCATATGTATCTCTGAAAAAAAAGACATAATTTAGCCACACGCTGTTATGAATATGTGTGTGTATATATCTAATATTAAAAGCTCCACACCCAGACCTGGTGCTCCATTGCTAAAAGCTCCCATGTGATCAGATTCCCAGCACAAACACAGCCAGAGCAGCCGATGCCCACTGGAAAACCTCTAAAGTTGTTTTTTTTCTTACAGCACATTCAGGGTGTGAAGGCTGGCACAGCACGATCCTGAGAGCTCGATATTCTCAGCACTTTATTGAGCAAGGCACGGGCCAGGTAGGTCTGTGCACTGCAGGACATCCCAGGATCTCCCAGGGTTACTGCCTTTTACTCAACCTTGCAAATGCCTGAATTAAGGCTGTGTCCTACAGTGCCCCAGTGGCTTATTGGATTAGTAACCGCCCTTCAGCAGCTCAAATCAAAGTCTGAGCAGCCTGACCTTTCACTTGCAGGGCAGTGAAGGTGCCCCTGGTGAAATGAGCTTCCCTCGCCCTGCTCCACTGGTCCATATCACACGAGGAGCGGGCATTTCACATTCAATGGGGCCGAGGACTTAAGAGCATGCTTGAGTGGGAAGCCTTCCCACCCCGGACACCCCTTTGGAATGTGAAAGAGAAGCCAGCAGGAAAGGCCAGGATCTGGCCCTGCCTGCATCTGGCATACCAAGACTTAAATTGGAATAAAAAACTTGGGCTGATGTTTTACAAAGACCAAGTTCAGCTCTACATCCCAACCCTGCCACCAGCAAGCAMATCCATGTGCTGTTCACTCCTGTCATCTGCATCTCCAGCATTGGGTTGTTCCAGAAAGCAAATTTTTCCTTACAGAAAATCAGACTGAAGAGGATTTCTGAATTTTAAAGCCTTGGTAAAAGGAAAGACAACTTTTAGACTGGCTGGGGAGCATGTTCTGTCTTTATTCAGTTTACACACAAAAGGTGTAAACTGAATAAAGGTAAGAAACGCTTSTGTCAGAGTCCGGACAGACAGGGAAGGAGGGGATGCTGAGCAGTTATTGCCATTTGACAAAAGAGCCACTTCCAAACAGCCCTGAACTGTCCAGGAGGACAGGACTTCARCCTCAGTTCCACCACATTCAGGAACAGCCTTGCAGAAGAAACATGGTGAAGAACAGTCAGGACTTGGATTCAGCCATCACAAAGCACGGGAAGTACAAAGCACAGAGCCATGTATACATACAAAATACAGACTGGTTTGGGATGCAAATTACCTTCAAGGTCATCTAGTTCCTATCCTCTGCCACAGGCAGAGACACCCCCCACTGTCCCAGGTTGCTCCAAGCCCCAATGTCCAGCCTGGCCTTGGGCACTGCCAGGGATCCAGGGGCAGCCACAGCTTCTCTGGGCACCCTGTGCCAGGGCCTCCCCACCCTCCCAGTGAACAATTCCTTCCCAATATCCCACATATCCCTGCCCTCTGGCAGTGGGAAGTCATTCCCCCTTGTCCTGTCACTCCAGGCCCTGTCCCCAGTCTCTCTCCAGCTCTYCTGGAGCCCCTTTAGGCAGTGGAATGGTCTCTAAGGTCTCCCTGGAGCGTTCTCCTCCTCAGGGTGAACAGCCTCAGGTCTCAGCCTATCTCCAGAGCAGAGGGGCTCCAGACCTCAGAGCATCTCYGTGGCTTCCTCTCTTCTCACATATAAATTAAATCCCCATGAAAATTCTGCAAGCCATTTGCAAATCATCAGTCTGGGAGGTGGCAGCCTCCAACAGCCCTGTGGATACTCACACTTGGGAGGAGAGAGAGAGAGARAGAAAGGGGGTWAAAGCAAGCAAAGCTGCAATTTGCAGGTGTAAATGCATTTCCTGAGGCAGAGCCCTTTGGTGTTGAGCAGTTTTGGAGCAGAGCAGCCATKGTAGGTCCCTGCTGAAGGACCTTGGTCACCCTGGCTGTCAGACAGYGCCTGCAAGGGTGGAAAGCTGCTGGGGGCTGGTGCTTGGCCCCTGAAGATCACAGATTTCTTTACATGCCAAGAGGCGGAGGGAAGGCCCACTTATCAGTTAACTCCAGATGGAATTTAGATTCTAGCACACTAAAGTTTTTCCCCTGGATATACATAAACCATGGAGGAACAAAAGCAGCCCAAACTATACATTGTCAGCTTTTATGTCCAGATTTCACCAAGCCCTGAGACAGATGATGAGCCTGGGAGACAGCCCAGACTCACTGTGTGTGTCTGCAGTCATTCCACTGGTTGCCTGGACTTTGAAAACACACAGAGACACACAGAATGAACTGAAACACTGAACAAAGGTGTGAATACAGTGAGGCAGAAATGCTGAATTCCCACCAAGCATTTGAAACACTATTGGAACATGCATAACTGAGCTTTCCTTCATTACACCGGAGAAAAAGAACCCAAACCAAATGTCCTTTGCTCACAGCGTTTGGAGCTTGTGACCATTGAGGTGTGCTTTGCAAGTCTCACAAATCCAGGGTGAATGAGCTRCACCATGCCATGCCAGCCAGTGGGAATGGTGCAAGGCATCAGCAGCACTGATCCTGCAAACAAATACAGGCACCAATCCT